AAGGGTTAACTCACTGAATCCTTACCATAACCCCATGGCAGGGGGGGGGGGCCCCCCCCACCATGATGATCCCATTTCACAGGCAAGGAAACAGCGACAAAGACTTGGCTGGGGTAACTCAGCTGGTTCTACAACAGTCATCGGTGACACTGTGATAATTCATTTATACTTCACAGGAACATCCCTTGCGATGTTTGCAAATGACACAAAACACGTAAAAGCATTGAAAATTCCATGAGAATTCCCAGCTCCTGGTCACAGTTTTGGCTCTGTCCAACCTCAGCGTCCTGATCATTCTAACCGTGCGTCGTCCCTCAACAATGTGCCCTCCTTCCCAAGCCTCAGCCCCCCGCCCTTATTCAGACCTGCCTCTGTCTGCCCCGAAATGTTGTCATGGCCTCTTATCCGGTTCCTGGCTTTCTGTTGCTTCTGTCCTCCAATTCAGGTATCGCTTCAACTTTTCCAGCCTTGTCCGAGTTACGCTCTTTGACGCCCTACATTCTCTTGAGTGATGACCTTGAGCCCAAGTACTGTGGCAGGTTATGGGAATTCAAAGTGGAAAGGTCACAGTCCTCATCCTCAAATTGTCTTCCATAGTGAGAAGACAGACTTGTTAACAGATACACAATCGCCATCATAGGAACATAAAAAACACGGCAGTCGATGAAGGGTCTCCATCTCCCCGTGGGCTTCAGAGGGGGCTTCACAGACAGGGAGCTTTGAGCTGGAAGAATGAGCCGGAGTCCTGAGTGGATCGGGGGAGCAAGTTCCAGGTAGAGGAACAGTGCACAGTGATAGGGAGCAGAGCGAGAGCCTGGGTGCACAGGGTGAACCGTTATGTCTGGTGAGAGCACAGAGTTTGATGGGAGATGGACGGAGTTGAGAAAACAGGAGCCAGATAAGGTCACTCTGTGATTGTATGGGTGTAAGTCCAACTGCAAGGGGGCACCTGGGTGGCTTAGTCAGTTGAGCATCTGACACTGGCTCAGGTCACGATCTCACGGTTCACGGGTTCGAGCCCCGCGTCAGGCTTGTGCTGACAGCTCAGAGCCTGGAGCCTGCTTCCGATTCTGTGTCTCCCTCTCTCTGTGCTCCTCCCCCACTCATTCTTTCCCTCTTTCTTTCTCTCTCTCTCTCTCAAACAAGTAAACATTAAAAAAAAATTCAAATTACTCATTCTTGGGTCAAATTCCAGGTACCCTTACATCCCCCAAGTTTATTTTACTGGAAAACCCACAAATTAAGATCCCAATGGCGTGTGTGTGTGTGTGTGTGTGTGTATGTGTGCAGTGAGTTTTTACTTGATTGAATCAATTACTTCCGGATGGTCATCACTTAGGCTCCGTGATGGCCACAGTCTAGCTCCCGTCTCATCGTACTTGGTGGCATTCCTCGTAGCAAAGGGGAGCCGTGGAAAAGTGAGATGTGTTCCAAGAGCTCAAGGAAATAATCATCGCTGCTGTTTGCTGACATTCAGCGGGGCGCCCAGCACGGGGCACACAGCCTCTCGTGTAATACGTCGTGAACCAGATAGCATTATGCCCATTTTCCAGATGGGAACCAGCCGCAGACCGTTGCAGCGCTATCCCCAGGCAGCCCGAAAACCAGGGTTGAAAGCCCGGTCTGTGGCTCCTAGCCATGTCCCTCTACCTGGCAAGGACCCCAGGGCTCCGTGCAGCATTGAGGCCCTTGCGGCGGGGTGGGGGGAAGCCCGCTCAGGGAAGACCCTGTGGACAGAGCAGCTCTGACCCCAGGCTCCCCGGCCCCAATCGGGAGCAGCGCGTCCCCGGCAAAGGCAGGCGGACAGTTCCTAGTTCCACAGCATCAGTGATCTATGGATCTAGATCTCAGCTACGCCGCTCCTGTGACCCGAAATAAAGAGAACTGGTGTAGATGTGCGTGGGGAGGAGCTGGGTTTTAACTCGTTTGAAAAGACTCTAACTTGCTGAGGCTCTCAGAAGAGGAATTTGGGGAACTGAGTGTCCTCAGACTTCTCCACCTGCTCTCCGGCGGAGCCCTGCCAAGCGGCCGAGGAATGCAATGCCCTGCGTGTGCCCAGCCTCCCGAGGCTCATCCAGCTCGCTCATCCTGCTGGGGCACAGGTCCTGCAGCCGGGGTGGGTGGGGGTGAGCTCCTCGGGGAGGGAGAGCTCCGGGCTGCCGGCTCCCTCTCGCCGCACAGTTGGAGCCCCAGATAGCCGTGCGCTCAGAAGGAAGTCAGAGTCAAACACCGTGTGGCCTCCATCAACACGCAGGAAGCAAGTTGGGTCAGGGCTCCAGGCAGAGTTGGGTCTCCAGCAAGGAAGATGGCGGCCTGGATGTTCCCCGCGGTGGGTGGACCTCCCGAAAGAGCAGGAAAGAGGCAGGGAAGCTAGAGAGAAAGAGGGTCTCCCCCTGGGCCAGGAGGGATGGACCGGGGCCGGTTTGCTGGGACGGGCAGAGGGGAGCGTACAGACGCATTTTTTCTTTAAAGACTAAAAACCCAGGGTGCCTGGGTGGCTCAGGCAGTTAAGCTTCCGACTCCGGCTCGGGTCATGATCTCACAGTTCGGAGGTTCGAGCCCCGCGTCGGGCTCTGGGCCGACAGCTCAGAGCCTGGAGCCTGCTTCCGATTCTGTGTCTCCCTGTCTCTCTGTCCCTCTCCCCTTGCGCTCTGTCCCTCTCTGTCTCTAAAGGAAATAAATACACTTACAATAAAATCATAAAACCCTAACGAACCCGCATCTTTTTCCTGGAGGAAAGAAGTATTTTGCTTCCGTGTCTGTTTTAAAAGTTAGAAAAAGTAGCTGTGTGAATCTGGACGATCACTTCAGCTCTGTTGAGCCTCCTACCTGTGCAATGGGGAACGAAACCAGAGGATATTCTGTTACGATCCCTTTAATGTTTTTAACGTTTATTTATTTGTTTATTTGGGGAGGGAGGGGGGAGGGGCAGAGAGGGAGAGAGAGAAGCTCTGTTTTGACCCCATTTAGTGTGAAGGTCAGAGATACTCAAACCTTCCCAAGTCCTGCCCCAGACCTACTAGTCAGAGTCTCCAGGGAATGGGCCTGAGAATCTGTATTGTATTTTACTAATTATTTAATATTTTTTTAGAGAGGAGGAGACTGAAGTCTTATTTTTTTTTATTTAACTTTATTTTTTATTTTTTTTAATTTATATCCGAATTAGTTAGTATATAGTGAAGCAATGATTTCAGTAGATGCCTTAAAGCCTTATTTTTTTAATGTTTATTTTTTATTTCTTTTTGAAAGAGAGAGAGAGCACACAAGAAGGGAAGGGGCAGAGAGAGAGAGGGAGGGAGAGAGAGAATCCCAAGCAGGCTCTGAGCTGTCAGCAGAGCCCGACATGGGGCTCAAACCCATGAACTGCGAGGTCATGACCTGAGCCGAAGTCGGACGCCCAACCGACTGAACCACCCTGGCGCCCCAGCATTATTTATTTATGTACCCAGTTTTATTGAGATATAATTAACGTACAGCACGGTATGAGTTTAAGGGGTACAGCATAATGACTTGATGTGCATATATGTTGCAAAATGATGATTGCAGTGGGTTAATATTAAGCAGTTACCAAAAAATTCTCTTTTCCTTGTGATAAGAAATGTTCGGACCTACTCTCCTAGAGACTTTCTTTCTTTTTTTTTACACTTTTATGTATTTTTGAGAGAGAGAAAGACAGAGCACAGCAGGGGAGGGGCAGAGAGAGAGAGAGAAGACACAGAATCCCAAGCAGGCTCCAAGCTCCGAGCTGTCAGCACAGAGCCCGGTGCGGGGCTTGAACTCACAGACTGTGAGATCATGACTTGGGCCAAAGCTGGACGCTCACTCGACTGAGCCACCCGGGTGACCCTCCTGGCAACTTTCAAATATACCATACAGCGTGGTTGACCACAGTCACGCAGTATTTATTTACCTTACAGCTGGAAGCTTCTACCTTTCGACACCTTCGCCCGATCCCTCCCACCCCCAGCTGTGGCAACCCCAAATCTGATCTCTGTTCCCACGAGTTTGCTGAGGTTTCTGGATTCCACTTACGAACGAGATCATGTGCCATTCGTCTTTCCGTGTCTGGCTTAGTTCACCGGCATCTCTGTTTTAGTCGGTACCCTGATGAGTCTTCCCTCAAGAAAATTCAGGAATTGCTGTAGGGGACGGGACCTCTCTAAACTCCCCCTGCCCTATTTTGGAGAAAGGAACAGAGGAGAAGAGCCTGGGAGCACGGGCCTTTCAAGGGCTCTGCATTGTGAGGGACAGGAGCCCGCAATCCTGGGGTCTTTCCGTCACCTGTGGTGTCTCCCACCTGACCTGCCTTTCAGCAGCCCCGGGGTTCTGAGTCTCTTCGGGGGACTTGCTCACACATCCGGGCACGCAGAAGGGGTAGCAGGTGACGAGCAGGGAGCCTGCGGGGCTCTCTCCAGATCCAGGTTTCAGAAACAGGGGTTCTGGCTCGTCTCTGCCGCTGAACTTGAGCCAGGACTTGGCTTCTCTGAGCCCCCATTTCTTTACTGCTGAAGTAATCGATAGACTGTACTATTTACGGTAATCGGGGAACATCACCCGGGTCTAACCCTTAGGCTTGCCAACAGCATCCAGCGAGGCATCGATAGAAGGATGTTGAACAGTATAAAACTCTTCACCAGCGGCTCCCGGAGTGTGCACCATCGTGCGTGCGGGCTATTAACAGTCTTCCGTGAAAAGAAAAGCGTCTGTAGTCAGTGGAGGAAATGCCTGACTTAAACTGAATTCAACAGCCTTCAATCTAGGACTTCTCTGAGTCCTTTATGAATGCGCTGCGCTCCGCCAGGACCAAGGGGGCGTGTGGGGGGCTGGAGGGGGTAGGACTCAGACGTCCTCAGGCCGGTTTGTTTGGTGACACCCCGAAAATGGTGGAAACGGCTCTTTCTGCGTGTGTGAGGCGAGGCACACGTAAGGCGAAACGCGGCTCGCGAGCCTTAAGCGCGCTCACACCCTTGTGTGATGGCCATGACCTTCTCTCTCTCCAGGACGGTTTCGTCTTCCCGGCTGGCAACGCTGCTCGTTCAACTCCCGTCCCCCTCTGAGTCCTCTAGGGACCTCACGTAAGTGGGATCATACGATATTTGTCCCCTTTCAGTCAGCCCCGTGTCCCTGATGTTCATTGACGTTCGTAACATAGACCCAGAAGCGATGGCTAGAACATCTCTTGGGCGAGGGTTCTGCGGAACATGCTTTGGAAACGATGCTCTTTCTAGATCTGAGGGAGCCCTCTTAAGCGAGAAAATTTGCCAGGGACATTCCTGCCTTAAATGATTCGGTGGGAAGGCATCCGGGTCAGGCGTTAGTACTCCCGCGCCTCCCTGAGGAGGACCCCTGCGGTCCCTACTTTCGGCCATGGTTAATGAAGTGTGATGAACCAGATGAGCTTTTGAAGTAGGGGCGATTTAATGCCATCTCCCACTGCCCCTTTCAGCCTTTCCCACCTCAATCAGCAAACTGCTAACAGGGAAGTCAGGGCTGTTTCCTCTTCCACGTTCCTACGTTCCTACCACAGGCGTGGCTTCCCTTCCCTTCCACCATTGCAATTTCACCATCACTCCACCTTTTTTTTCCACAAAGAGAAGAGTAGTCACCTAGTTTATTCTAGGCCACAAAAGATGAGCCTCGGGGACAGCCCTGTTCTATGAGAGAGGAGTGATTTCCCACTTTCTTCTTCAAGAGCCGACTTCTCTCTCCCGTTAGGAATCTCCAGCTGCTGCTTGAATTTTAAATATAATAACCAGGTTTATACATGAGGCAAGCTTTGCCTGGTTCCCTTAGCAACGGCTCTAACTTTTACAGCCTGCTCGGAGCTCGTTCTAAAGGAACTTGTGGATTTCATGAAAATAACATCTCCATGATCCTGAAGGGAAGAAATTTTAACCTTTCAAAAGGATGGAAATCTAAAATTAAGCCACAAGGCAGAAGGAAACCCTTGGAGCCCCTAGAATAACCTTCATAAAGTCTCGCGCTAAAGACCAGAAGCTGTATTTGTGGGAAAAGTGTTTAGCCCTGGAAATTCTGTTTACTCTTGTTTAATGCATCCTTCTCAACAAACGGATAACAGGGAGGCGGCTGCTAAAGACAGACAGTTAGCAACAGTGCTAAACCATCGGATCGCCTGGGGACAAAGGAGACAGGAAAACTAAAAAAACCATGATGCACTGCGCTGTGACATTTCCGACAGACCCCCAATCAAAACGGCCAGAATAAAGTAAGCGTCCAGTTTTTGTAAAGATGAGCCTCCGTTACCTAGAAAACTTCACTGTTTTTGAAGAATCTGGTGTCAGCAGAGCCATTTATAATTGAAATGTCAAGCGCCATTATGTTTTGAATCAAAAAGCCTAGCAAGGCATTCAAAGATAGATTAAAAAATCTATCAGTTGGATGAATCACCACTGGTGTGTTCCCCAAGCAGGGGGAGCAGGGGAAGTCTTGGGTAAGACTAACTCTTAGATTTCCCAAATGTTGGGAAAACCACCATCTCAAACGCAAGGGTGGTCCTCTTGTGTAGACAGAAGCTGGGATTTTAACGCAGCGGCACCTTGCTGCATTCATTTAAGGAAACCCTCTAAAGGGTCTTTGATTCTGTCAACGTGTCCCCTGCTAGGGAAACGGGGGGCTTTGCTTCTCTGCATGGTAATGTAAACCAGTGTCTTCCCCAAGGGCAGGGGAAGACTGTATCAGGGCAGGGCCTCAAATTGTTTCTACTGGGACCGCGTGTGACGGACGTGGTCTTGTCCAAGACTGGGGACACTTATCAGAGGGTCCAGGAAAGATGTCTACAGGCTTATCTTCACTGCCAGCTGGCAGAGGTCCCCTAAAGGCAGACAGATAGGTATGACCTGAGTCAATCCTTAAAATTCCCCCAGGCCACATTATTCTAGAACAACCGTGTCATCTAGACTTTTGGAAATGTGCTGATTCCAGAATATTGCTCGGATGCCCTTTGGGGACAAAGAGCAGGACCACATTCTTCCGGGTGTGGGTGGGGTTTACCCAAAAAGGAATGGATGTTTCCATAAATGTCACCCTGGGGTCCCCGAAATAGGAACTTGGAAGGCGCCTTAGACTCTCCAAGGGAAAAACCATTTCTCGTTCTTGGAGCCTTGTGGTCTGAAAAGCCTAGACTCTAGGGAGGGTTTCCCCCAGTTACTCCCCCCCGTGGGAGATTAAGTTGAAATCTGCACGGGGGGACGTGACAAGGGCCACAGAAAGACACCAGGAGGGGACAGGGTTCCCAGTTCACATGCCGGACGCTGTGGTACAGTTGCATTCCCGATCAACAACAGATAATATTTTAGCATAAGTACATCCCAAATATTGCATGGTTCCTAATATTGCACAGGAAATACTTACACTGCAAAACCATTTGTTGTTTATTTGAAGTTGAAATTGTGTAGGCTCTTGTGCGAGGAGAACCCAGGAAAAGTCTGTGGTCAGGGAGGCGGTGATGGGGCGGGCGGGGCGGGGGCGCCCTGGGCTATTGGAATTTGGACATTAAAGGGCGATGTGATCTCCTGACCTGAAGTCTGTCACACTTGGGTTACAATTCCAACATGAGGCATCAGGGTTAAGGACTGAGATACCGTTATGTATAATAAAAATGTATGTTTGGTCTTTGACCCCATTTCTGGCACAGAGCTCTTAAATTTTTTTAATGTTTATTTATTTTTGAGACAGAGACAGGGCTCCAGGGGGGTAGGGGCAGGGAGGGAGGGAGACACAGAATCCGAAGCAGGCTGCAGGCTCCGAGCTGTCAGCACCACAGCCCAATGTGGGGCTGGAACCCATGAACCGTGAGATCATGACCTGAATCAAACTCGGAGGCTTAACGGACTGAGCCACCCAGGTGCCCCTGGCGTGGGGCTTCTTAAACTTCTAGGAATATCCTAAATGAAGGCAGCCATAAAAGGTGCCTTTTCTTTTGTTAATGAGGTGACTCTCCCGGGATACACCTGTGGGAGGGGGCCGGTTGCCAGGACAACCAGCCACGTGATTAGGGGGTTGGACCTTTCATCCCACCCCCACCTTCTGGGAAGGGAAAAGGGTTGGAGCTCGAATCCATTGCCAGAGGCCACTAATTTAATCAACCGTGACTCTCCTGACTGTGCAAGGAATCCGCTATAAAAACCCAAAAGGACGGCTTCTGAGACCTTCCAGGTTGGTGAACACGCGGAGATGCGGGGGAGGGGGTGGTGCCTGGAGAGGACACAAGCTCTGAGCCCCTTCCCCCGCATCCTGCCTGTCCCACTTCTTTCCCGCTGGCCCTGAATTACATCCTTTTATAATAAACCTAGGTAATCCGGCAAATCAGACGTTTCCCCGAGTTCTGTGAGCCTCTCCAGCAAATTAATCGAGCCCAAGGAGGGGGTCGTTGGAACCGCCCATCTCCAGCAGGTCCGGCAGAAGCGCAGGTGATAACCTGTAGTTGGAGACTGAGTTGAATTGTAGGAAACCCAGCTGGTGGGGGTGGGGGGTGGGGCCCCCCTCCCACCCCGATGTTGGAATTGGGTGCAGAACCCTCATAGGGGCGTTTCTACACAAGGGCCTCCCTGAGCCTCCGAATTATCACACAGGGTATTGACATGAAACTTACCCTGTTGTCTCTGGTTCAGCCGAGCCGCCCACGCTGAGAACACGGGATGTCAGGTGCCCACGTACCTACTAAAGACAGGCTCGGAACCGTCTGTGTGGAACTCCCTAAAGTGATCCAAGAAACTGGTGGGGGTCCCTCGGAGCATCAGCCACTGAAGATTGTGCAAGGGAAACTGAGGCGTGCACAGGAGACTGGATAGGGAAGGCTTTCCCTGAGTCATCCGCCCTGAGGTGCAAAGGAAGGGAGGGGGGAGCCCCGCGAAAGGGACCTTCAAGTACTTGGAGAGCCTGGCTTCGTCCCAGGGGGTGGCCTCATGCCGGAGCCTGCCACACCTGGAAAGTAAAGGGGCTCAGGACAGCTGCAGTTCCACTGAGAGACCGGACACAGGTGCAGGGACCTTCCGGTGGTCCCTGTGTGCCCATGGAAAGTGGCCAGGCTTATGTTATTTGAATAGGGCCTCCATGAAGAAGCGAAAAAGAATGATGCTGAGTAGACGTGGCCCACTTAGAGCCCAACTGTGTGTGGTGCCATTTATATGAAATTCTAGAAAGCCTCATATTATCTACAGTGCGCTAGAGAGCTGGTCAGGGTTCCCCCGGGGAGGTTGGGGAGGGTCGAGAGAGAGGAATCGCCAAAGGTCATGAGGAAATTTGGGGGAGTGATGGAATGTTCATTATCTTGATTTTGGTTCCTAGGGCTCCTTCAGAAGTGAAAACTTATTTGGACGCCTGGGGGGTGGCTCCTTCTGCTCAGCATCCGCCTCTTGATTTCGGCTCAGGTCATGATCTCACGCTGCTTCGGGAGTTCGAGCCTCGCATGGGGCTCTCTGCTTAGGATTCTCTCTCTCCTTCTCTCGGCCCCAACCCCATTCTCTCTCTCTCTCTCTCAAAAGAAAATAAACTTAAAAAATAAAACTTAAAAACTTAAAAAAAGTCAAAACTTATAATGAACTCTAAATACGTGCAATCTGTTGTATGCCGGCTACACATATCCAGATACAGTTGTTGAACCAAAAAAGGACTCCAGGATAAGAGAATCTTCTGCGGAGAGCCCGTCTACTCCAGCAGAAAGAGGTTGGATACAGAAGCTAGTGGGGAAGAGGGCTGACTTAGCCCTGAGTGGTGAGCCAGGTGGATCATTATCCAGACCACAAAGTAGTGCTGTGGGCTGTCCCCAGTGGGAGGCTCTCTGGGGAAGTCATAAAAGAACCCCTTGTCACAAGGAGCCAGAATGTGACCAGCTGCCACATGCAGAGAGCGTTCAAGCCAAGAAAAACTTGCCCTGCCCCTCATTCCCCATGCTATCCTCAGCCCTAATTCTACAAGAGCCTGAGGCAGTGAAAGTGAGGAGCGAAATCAGGGGGACCCCCCCCCACCTCGGTGACCCCTTCCCTGTTGCAAATTTCCAAACCTGGGGCAGGGGAGATCAGAGAGATCAGATGGCTGAGAGATCAGAGTTCTTTTCTCTCTCTTTTTTTTTAATGTTTATTTAATTTTGAGAGAGAGAAAAACAGAGCACGAGCAAGGGAGGGGCAGAGAGAGAGGGAGACACAGAATCGGAAG